TTTTGCTAGTTCAGCCTCAAGCAACTGAATCCTTGACTCTGGATCTACTTCGACCACATGAACACTTTCATCATGAAGTCCATTATCAATTTCCACCTATCAGAAAAGGAAGACAGTGAACATAAGCATTAAAAGTTATTTAATTAAAGCAAATGCCACGTGTTAGAAATTATAAATAAACTTTATAAAATTCAACATGGAGGCAAAATTAAATCATAAGCATCCCTAATGCCACCTCACTCTGATGCCTGCTACTGTAAATGTCCTGTTGATTTTTCACAGTTTCTCTGTCATTCTTAGATAAGGGCTTTTTCCTATTACTGCGATGCTGGCTTGAGTTCTTCACCATTGGATTCTGCTATTTAAAAGATATATATAAAAATCAAGAGTTCTAACATCAAATTGTAAATATGCCATTGAGGAGAAAAGATGTACCGACTTTTAAAATCTTCGGATCTTCAGGACCAGGTACAGCTTTCCTATTCATCTTGGGCGTTTGATTTCGCTTCTGTTCCTTTATCAGTTTCAGTTCTTCTTCAAAGGCTCGGGATTTTGTCTGAAACTCGACTTTTCCTGCTCAAGTCCTTGTATGGTTTGTTGATACTGCCTGTTTATCCTTTTAATTTGATTGAGCTCGTTCTTTTGCTCAGTAATCTGGCCAAATAATGTTTCTTTCGTCTTTAAATCACTCTCCATCTGCACAAGCCTTTCTTCTAGGGTTGCTCTACTTCTTTTACAGTCTTCCAATTCAGATAATTCCTTTTCCATGGCTGAGGTCTTTGTTGCAAACAAATTCACCTCTGCCTTCAGATTTTCACAAAGTTCAGATGTCACATGCAATGATGCTTCTAGTTTCTCTTTCTCTGAACTGGTTGAATCGAGGTCCTTCTTGAGCACTATAATCTCATTTTTAAATTGATCTATCTGCTGCAATTCGATCCTTAAATTTTTAGTCTCCTCCAAGAGTTGTTGTCTCTCACATTCAGCGACTTTAAGCTTCAATTCAAGGGTATCCATGGTGCTTTTGACTTTTAGTTCTCTTGACTTGTAATCCTCCACAAGCTTCAAAAGCTCTTCATGGTCAGACATCAGCATTTCCTGGTTAATTTTGGAAGCACCAAGCTCAGTTGTTAGGTCTTGCAGCCTTCTTGCATATTCTTTCTGCATAAGATTAGCCTCGTTCTTAGATGAAAGTACTTTAGATTGAACTTCCTCTAAATCAGATTCCAGTTTGGCTTTCCCGGCATGTAATGCAGATATTTCAAGCAAAGCGTTGGAAACTATTCCCTCTTTTTCGTCATGCATTGCTGAAAGTTTCATGCTCAGATGCTCAATTTCTTGTTGAAGGTTCCGAATTTCTACAGTCGTCTCCATATGCAATTGATTCAACAAGCTTTGCTCCTTCTCCCTATGAATTCCACTTTCCCCAAGAAGCACATCTAATTCTGAAGTAATACTCTTCTCGGTTGATGTGCTATCTTCCAACAACACAGTAAATTTCTTTTCTAAGAGCTCAACTCTTTCCAAACATTCTGCAAATCTTTGGTCTGATTGCCTCAATCTGATTCCCATGATGGAAAAATGCTCCTTGAACTCCAGCTCTTGCCCTTCCAAATCTCCATTAGATTTCCGCAGAGAACTGCATTCTTTGGAAAGATTCTCGATTTCTGCTTGTAACCGCTGATTCTCTCTTCTAAGATATTCACACTCTCGGTGAGCTTCTGACCACTGAAATTGTATCTCCTTTAATCTTCGTGTCATGTCTTCTTTTGAAAAATCCATCTCTGACTTTATCTTCATAATCTTCCCTTGAAGCGTTGCTGCATGAGATCTAGAGCTCCTTAGTTCTGACAGAATGGACTCTCGATCATTTTTCAAATCTCTCAATTGAGCTTCTAAAACGGACACGTACAGTGACAGTTGTTCTTTTACTTGTTCTATCTCTGATGTGTTGAGCTCCAGTTCATGTTTTCCATTTTCTAGCTCTGCTGGCTCTTTTTCAAAAATCTCTTTGGTAGAAATATGGGAGTCTATGCCCCCACTAAGAGTTGCCAGATCACTTTGTAAATGATACAAGCATTTAAAGATGAGATCTCTTTCTTTTAGCATGAACTCCACGTGTTCCTCTAGTTGACTTTTGTCATCTTGAAGATGACAAACCTTAGCTTCCAATTCACTCTGGCACTTCTGCAGGACTCCAATTTCCTTTTCCTTAGATGACAAGTTAGCCTCAAGATTTTCTATTTCAGAAGCTTTATCTATTGCTTTCTTATTCAATTCTGTGATTCTTGCTTCCAGAACTATTTTCAAACTCTCCAATTCTTCAGTTGAATTATCAACCTGTCCAATGACTTTCTCCTGTGAGACATCTTCTAAATGGAGCATCGGAAATACTTTGTTATTGACATCTGGCTCAGAGCTAATAAAACATTGATCTAAGAGCTTCTTAGGAGAAAAATCTTCAGATGTACCTCCTTTTCGCAATTCTTTCTGTGCTTCTTTAAGCTTGAATATGAGGTCAAGGTTTTCATTTGTAAGCTCATTGCAGTCTGCCTCAAGCTCCTGCAGTTTCTCTTTCAATATTTCAATTTCTCTTCTAAGATCTGCATCATCCGCATTTCTGGATTCGGTCTCTGCATTAAATCTGTCCGGTAGAGACTTAAGCGACTTTGTTTTCAAACATAAAATTTCTTCCTCTTTAGCAGATAATTTTCTTTCATATTCCTCTTTCATATCTGAGAAGATTTTGTGATCTGGACATTTTGCAGTTTCTATGTCATGTCGTTTTTCCTCCAACACCAGTTCCAGCTGCTGTACCTTGATCAGGAGGTCATTCTTTGACTCCTCCATTTGTTCTAACTGAAGCCTCAGGCTCCTGTTTCCTTCTATGCTTTGTTGGAAAGCGTTCTCTACATCACTGAATTTTGAAGGTAATGCTGAGAGGTTTTCTATCTCCACTTTCTGCTGTTCTATGGTCCCTTCCAGTTCCTGAAGAATAGAAACCAGGTGAATGTTTGCTTCTTGGCTCTTTTCCAGTTGTAAAGACAAGTTGGCGTTGGACTCTTTCTGAAACTCCAATTCATTCTTTAGTGCCCTTTCATTTTCTGGAATATATTCACCTTGACAATTTGAAACTTCAAATGCTTTCTGATTCGCTAATGCATGTTCCAAGGACAATTTCAGTTTCTCAATTTCAGTTTCCAAATTATCCCGTTCTGCGTGTGCTGCTGAAAGCTCCCTTCCCATGTTCGCCAGGTTTTTGGACTGATCAGAAAATTCAGTCCTCAACGTTTCCAAATCAACCATCAGCTTCCGAGCATTCATCTCCCACATCTTAGCTTCTGCTCGAAGCTCTTCAGTTGACTCTTCAGCACCTTCCTGACGACTATTAGAAGTAGTCATACTCATAGATGATGCTCCAACCACTTGCGTAGAAGACAAATTCCCTAACTTTGTCATCTGGGAATTTGATGATGAATGATTTGATTGAGAGAAATTATGAGCACGATAATTGCAGTCAGATACACTTTTAAGGGAACCGGTTGAATCTTGTCTTCCACCTAGGCTCTGTTCATCATCCCTTGAATCAATACTAGGGGAGAAGTTTCCCCTTCCTATAGATCCCTCTGTCGAGTTATAGCTGCAATGCGAACCAGAACCAGAGAAATTTGTTTCCTGCAGTCAAAAGACATGGCCCCGCTATCATCATATAGACTGGTTAAAAGTAAAATGCATCACGACTAAGACAAGCAAGCAAATAGCTCTAAAGAGGAAAACCCCGATAATTGCGGATTGAATACAACACCATACAATGAATGGCTTTATAAGAATCCATTAGAATGAAATGAGACTTTGATCTTATATATAGGTAGTATTGTGAAATTAGTAATGACAACTGACGGGATGTTTTGTCAGCGAAATTACGCTTTGATCTTATATCTAAGTAGTGTTGTAAATTTAGTACTGACAAATGAGGGGATATTATATCACTATGGATACAACTAGAGCCAGCTTCCATCATTGATAAGCACAGGCAGAGATCAATTTACGATTGTGCACAGATACCAAAGAACAGATGTACTTGTAGGGGAGGTTTATAATCTTACCCTACTCTCAAGTTCTCCAAGGGATGAGGTAGAGTCCAAAGCTTTTATAGAGGAAGATTCAGAGCTCTCTACATATGAACAATCAGATACATTTGACTTGACGGCCACATTATGATTCTTTGCATTCTGATCGTTGATATGGGAATTTGTCTGTCTTGATTCCTGATCCCTGGGAAATTGTGCAAGATGTCAATACATACTGAGTTAATGGCACACATATAACAAAAAACCTACCCCACAGTACAAACCTGAATTTTGTTCTAGGCGTGAGGCACTGAACAGTAACCTGATAAAAGCAAAAATTACTGAGTTTCCAGTGCTAAGCTGAATGACGTTTTGTTGCAGCAGATTATTGGCAAATAAGAGCGGGAAAAACAGAGGAAATACCGACTGGATAAGAAGAGATGAATGAAAAAGAACAGGCTCTCAAGAAAAAGCCTCCATGCATTTCTTGTAGAATGTAATTAATGGAGTCTATGCCAGGTTGTCATCCATGACTCTTTTTGGGCCGAGGAAGGCAAGTGTGTGTGTGTATGGGAATCAGTAAGATAAAAGCCAAATTTCATAAAATCTCGGTTACATGACTAACATGTAAAAATGTCCCATGATTGCACTTGTTCAGCGGAATTGAAAGCGGAATAGCCTCAGTTGAACTCAAATAGCTGGCCATATCAACTGTAGCCTCTCCAAGAATGCTGGATCTTGATGATCCCTGATATATAGCGCATAAGTCAAATTATTTCTTGAGATGATTCAAAGAATACAAAATTAACTGAGAGTTGATTATGTTTAAAAGAGCAGAGGATAGAAATCTAAGTTCCATGCACCGCAGGAAATATGAACAGGAAAGGGGAAAAACTGTACACGTCTGTATCTGGATAACCAGAATGAGGTGACGAAGGAAAGGAGGGAACCAGCTTAGTACCGTGGAAACAAGGAGTTTGAGAAGACAATCTTCAATCTCCTTCGAAGAATCATCCCGTGAAACCGATATAGAATGTGAAATGGTATCTGTCCATTGACAACTTCCATTGCGAACGATTGCTTTGCCCGACTTTGCAACTGTTTTACCATTTTCTCTGGAGATAATAGAAATGAACAGCTTGTCCCAGCCCTTGGGTACCTGCTCACATAAGAATCGGCACTTGCTATGTACTGAGGCTGAAAAATGCTTTTTAAAAACGTAGTTATAGTAATTTCATTTATTGTGAGAATATATCGTTTGTGGCTAGGATTTGATAAGCTTTAAACAAGTTCTTGGTGGTAATGAAGATTACGCATCAAATCCCAAGATCATAAGTCTCAGAGCCACACTCCGCGATTCTTTACATAACATGAAATTTTCTAGTAAAAAAGGAAAACGGATAAGTCCATAGCCATAACTCTGTTTAGATCATATAAGGCAATCTGTGAGTACTATTCTATCGCAATAATATCGCCGATGATGATCATTTTGGAAACACATAGAAGGCATTGCACGCCAACGTCGATTCGTTGCAGAAAATCTATCTCTTCAAAGCATAGAAATCACCTTCGTATAACAACTTAGAGCAAAATGACAAAGCAGATTAATGACGGGAAAATTGAAAGTATAACATGGAAAAGGGGAACAGGAGATGAGTAACCTCGAGGGCCTTGAAATGCGAGAACTTGAATTCAAGCTTGTCTTCTGATTTAGAAAGCCTGTTCTTGTGCAGCCTAAACATTTCCTCTGTTTCTCTCCGTCCCTCTCACTCCTGGCTTGTATTATGGTTCTTCATCAATCAAAATCGCTACAATTCAACATAAGCATAATAACCAGCACCAGCGCCACCTTCATCGTCTCCACAACCAACATTACCAACTGGAGAGAGAGAGAGGGACGTTGCAGGGCGTTAGCTAAATGGTCATTGTAGGTAAGGATGTTATTTTATTGTTCCTTCAACGATTGGCGTTACACTGGTGAGAAAGAGACACTAGAAAGATATTCTTATGTCTGATACACTGGGATATACGCACTGGCTCTAGCACTCCCATTGCTTGTTGGTGCAGGCGCAAAGCTGAAAGAAGGTGGCGGTCCCACCAAATGGATGCCGAACCCCGCCGCACTCAGTTCATGCTCGCGTAGCTCTCGGAACCAAAATGTCAGCGAAATATTCTCTTTTGCTGACGTGGCGCTCGGGAGTTGGTCAAAAACCTTGTGGGCCTCGATTCTGTTCCTTGACCTGGATAGAATATAAAGGGATAGGGGAAGAAATCGAGAGTGGATCGGCCTCATCTTCTTCCGGCGCTGGTTAGCTCTAACAGCTCGCGCCTGGCGCTATCACATTGCCGAACAAATTTGCTAATGTGAAGAAGGAAATATAGACTAGTTTAAGATCATGTGTGATTATTTTAGCAACCACGTTCTCTCAGCTCCACATGAAATCATGAGCGGCCTATGTTACGACTTTTTCATCTTCGTATATACAAAAATTAGTTTAATTTGACTTTAAGCATATAAGACGCTATTGCACTTTATATTCAATATTTATCTATGTAATTCTCAAGTAATTTTTATATTACTATTAATTTAAATACACATGATTAATAAAAATATTTTAAAAAGAATAAGATTTATATCAGTTATCATGCTCACGGTAATCGTGGGTTAGCCAAGTACAGGGTGGTTAACTGTTAAAAACATCTAAGTAATAAACTTACCTCAAAATGAGTGTCTCCTGTTCAGTTGCAAAGTTTATTTTGTACATTGTAGAAAGTTTCATTTTTTATTGATGAGAGTTCTCGGTGTTGGTTTATATAGTTAGAATGAACCAACATTAAATTTTGAAATATCAGCTAATCAGTCATATGATGTGACACTAGAAATAATATTTTATATTAGTTTTCTTATTGTTTTTATTAACAAAGCACTGACTCTACCCTTACATATGTGGTTACCAGACACTCATGAAAAGACACATTGCAACACTTATATACTTTTAGCTGGAATCTTATTAAAAATGGGAGTGTATGGGTTAATACTACAAATAACTAACTAAATTAATTTTCTTAATATTTTCAAATTAGTTAACTAGATTTTAAATTAAGGATCAAAGTTAGTATTTTATCTTGTGAATTTTCCAGCTTCATATATATTTTTTAAAGGACAAGGAAAGTAATCTCTTTTGTGTTGGCGTGGAACATAGGACACCTATAGTGAACTTTGCCCTACTAAATCATGCTGATTGCTGTGGGATCCCTGATCACGACCATAAACTTAACCATGGCGTTTAACAGCTGGGTTAATGTTTTGTCGTCGCGCAGTTGGTTCAACTAACGCTCGTTACAGATCAACAGAATGATCCAACATTCCATCTCCTAATGCTTAATAGCAAGCATTGTTTTAATAATTGAGGATGTAACAGATACAATCTTTACTTGACCCTGCTATAACAAGTAACATTCAAAATCTTATTTAATGCTTAGTGTTACTTATTATCAAAGAAACAAAATATCATCCTATTTTGAGTATTATAGGCCTTTACTACTTACTAACTACTAAACTTAAAGACATGGATCAAATTTAGTTCAGCATACGCCCCTTCTTCGACCAGCATCGAAAGAAAATGGCAAAGCTACGCCACGCATGTTTTACCTAGTATTGCCAGCCTACATTTCCGGCTTTCCGTACTCTGTTTTCAATTAATTTTTACACCAGCGACAACTGACGAGAGTGACAATGCATCCATCCAACGCATCGTAGGTTGCACGCAACACAATAATTCATTATTCATTGACTCTAATTTCATAATACAAAGTTTAACTGAAAAAGAAAGATATACTTGCATCATGGGCAAACTTCAAATAAAAAAAGTACAGAGTCATGATAGCTAAATGATGCAAACAAAACAGAATTCTGCCTGACTCATCTGCCAAGACATTTCTTCCTCACCTCGAATATCAATTGATCTTCTTTAGGAAATTCCAAAATGCAGAAAAAGCTGCACCATCGATTGGGCCATCTAATATAAACAACTTTGCATTAACCAGGAGAAAACTTCGTACCAGATATTCAGATAACATTTGATAGTCAATCAAAATTATAAGTTTCTATCATAACATCAAAAGTGGGGATGATCAAATGCATCTCGTGCAAATATATATATATATATATTTTTTTTTTTTCAAAAAAAATTAACATAAGTAAATGATGCGCTGAAGATGTGGGCAACTTTACAGCCGAACTTGTCTGAGGAAGATGAACACAATCAACTATTTTCGCCGTGGGCTGAGTTTCATGTACAAGCCCTGAAAAACATAATTTTGTTAAGCCAACAAAAATTGAAGTTGACATGTAAGTAACCCCCTTGGAAGTTTACTTGTTCTCCCTTACTTTCCCTTTAATAGAAAAGCTCACAAACAAGAAAAAGTTAACCAATTAGCCAAACACACTCGGATCAGGGACTTCTAGTTATTTTTGATAGACCAACAACAGTTACTTGATAATAAGATCCTTTTACACGGGTTTTGTCAGAAACATCATGAAAAACAGTGAGGAAAATTATGCAAGCAGATTAACGTGAGGCTAAACTACTCAGAAGAGCACAATATCTCAGACACAAGAAGATACATTACATTTGTTGTATGTATAGTTGCTCCAGTGGTCATGCTAATATTCTGATCAGGAACTAGTTCAAAATTCATGTGTTGCAGAAAGATTGCGAGAGCAATTGTTGCTTCCAATAAAGCAAACTGATCACCAACACACTTGCGGGGTCCTCCACTAAACGGAATAAATCTGCCACATATTTGACCCATTAGAATGAGAGCAAACTAAGACATATAGCCAGATAGAGCCCCCATTCAACCCTCCCAGCATATGGCACTTGATACGAAATAAAGAGTCAGTGTCTCGAAAATCTTGAAGTATTTCCATAAGTGTATGAGGATAATGGACACCTGAAATCTGTATTTGTTTCGTTTGGGACTGGCCCATCCAAATCAAATCTTTCTGGCAAAAACTCTTCAGCCCTCTCCCAAACCTTGCAAAACCATATCGAAGGTAGTAAAATCGATCAAAATATTAAAATTACAAAGAAATGAAAAAACATTCAGTACTTGATAAACCTACCATATCAGATGGGCTAAAGAAATCTAGCAAAATAACATGGAAGAAAGAAATAATTTTAACATTGTTTTGCAATCACCACAGCAAATTCACAATTGATGGATACAGATTATGTAACAAAAGATTTACACTAATTCATTGTAAAACCCAGCTACTTCAATGGGAAATCATATGAAGAATGAAGGTGAACAGAATCAGAACAATTGGGAGGCATTTGGGAGATAACCATATGATGGGTAAAATCATTTAATTCTTAGGCGGAATATGAAGCACAAACATCTCAACTGATTCCTCAAAGAAACAACAGACCCAAAGAAGAGAATATTTTACAAATGGAAAATATCAGGCGATACCTCTGAAGAGTGATGGATGTTATATACAGAAATCATAATATCTTGACCAGCATCAACCTTGTAATCTCCAGGGAGCACATCAGGAACTTGAGCTCTTCTTAACAAGACCTGAATAATGCACAGAGGAACATTAGTAGCAAGAGACAATTGATGAAGCAAGCTCTATTAAAAAAAATACAAATAAATAGCATTTAATTTAATTAGCATAAGTACTACAATAACTAGCTTAGCAACCTACAGGAGGATGTGGATAAAGCCGAAGTGACTCAATAATGCAGCGTGTCAAGAACTTAAGATTTTAATATCTTCATAGGCAGGACGTCTTCCTTGCAAAACTCTGTCTACCTCTTCTTGCGCTTTTGCCAAGGAGGAAGAGTCCTGCATAAATAAAGCACATATTTTTAGACAAAAATGCACACTGGAGCTTTTTTTCAATATATAATTGGTGGAATCTATTTCTTTTAAGGAAACTGGAGCTCTCATTTTGTTCAGCAGTGGCTATACAATACACAAACAGAGGCACATACTACTTTCAAAATAACAATGGATATGTTAAAAATCCTTGAAACATGCCGGAAGCTAGATTTTATTGAAAGTCTATGAGGATGTTAAATCAGCTTGTGATGCTCACATTAACCCAGTTAAGTTGGCTTTACAATTTCAATATTGACTCCCAGTGTAATCATGAAGAGTCTGGGGGAAGAAAGGCTATGATTGAGAAGTAGTTCAAATGCACAATTCAAACAGAAAACTGGGATCAGTTGATCTATTTAAAAAATTAACTTCTGCAATACCCTATTAGAATGAGAAGCAGCAACTCATTGACCTGGTGAAACTGAAGCGAGGTTGCCGGCAATTCATAAGATTAATCAGAATAGAGATCACGTTTTATGAAAAAAATTAAATTAAATTAAAATGATACCTTGCTAAGAAGATAAAGTGTCCAGGTTAAAACTGAACCAGTGGTTTCATGGCCAGCAACTAACAGTGACAAAAGATCATCCCGTAGCTGCAGACTGGAAACCTAAGACATAAAAAAACATCAAGTAAAATAGAAACAATATGTCAACTTCATATGTTGTAAACTAATGATACTATAAACAAAACCATGTTATGCACAATATTCATGGTGACAATACTACCCCATATTCGGTGTACCGAGCAAGTCTTGATATTAAACTGTCCAATCAGAATAAATATTAAATTTCATTATTTACACATCAAACCTCTAGTATTGTGGAGGATGAAAAATCAGCTATCTGCATATAAAAACAATGATGACAAGAAAATCATAGCATGTGTCACCAAAAAAATGCAACAAACCTCTTCTCTGCTGGCAAGCAAGAAGCGAAGGATACTAGGATCAGTGTTATTCACGTATTCATCATTACCATCAATTCTTTCACCCTCAGCCTCCACAATCTCTTTACATTTCACAATAAGTTCTTCAACAGTTTCCCTAATCACGTTTACGGCTTTTTCAGCTTTTATTTGTCTAGGGATTATTTTGCAAAGAGCTTTAACCTGGAGGGGGAAAAAACACAGCATGATCAGCGTAGAAAGAGAATGAAAACCAAGACTTAAAGATAATAATACCTGCCTTCCAATAAGGCAAAATATCAGTTGAACGAGCTTCTGCCTCCTTCAATGCAGTGTAAACAGCCTCAATAACAGGACTATCTGTATTAAGTGAATCGAAGTTGTAGTTGAATACAGACAAACCGATAACATCTAGAGTCAACTGCGAAAACTTCTCCTCCATGTTAACAGGAGTTCCATTCAGTGCATCATATTGTAGCTTCTCCACTAGTCTCTCAGCACATCTACAAAATACCCGATCAACTATAACAGACAAGTATCGTTTATGAAGAGATGGAACCACGGCCCTGCGCCTTACCTAATACATATAAGAAATAGCTGTAATGTAGAGCTGGTTGCATAAGGTAGCCTATAAAATCATGAAAGGAAGTCTAGAAGTACAAGTTCGACCAGTTTAGCAACAAATAAATTATGGGTCATCGTTGCACCTATGGAACATGGTTTGAGATGAGACAATTATAATACTGTACCTAGAATAAATAACTCGCTAGAAAAACAAGCCACATTGTTAATTTGTTTTATAACAGACGCAATGAACTTCCCATTCTCACAACAACATCTTATATGTATAAATCAAAGAATTGGAGACTAATAAAATCGAGGATGTTAACAATCCTAGACATAATTGCAAATATAAGGGACTCCCCATTTTGAATATAATAAACTACGTCAGAATTGGCAGAATCTTAAACAATTCAAAATTACCGTCCAGAGTGCGCCTTCAGCAATTGCAAAACCGGACCCAAATAGGAACTCCGAAACCTCGGAGACAAGACCCTTTGCATATGTACCATAATTCCTTAGAACATGCTTCGCGACAGCAGGGTCACTAACCACCACAAAATTTCTAGGCCCGGCGGCGAGTCGGTAAATAGGACCATACTTATTCATCCATTTAAACAGAGGGAGAAAAAGAGCGCCACCTAGAAGATCAGAAACATCGTCGAGTTTGGCACTTGCAGAAGGAATGCCAGAATCGTCTTTCCCTAAGGTGAGGGACCTAGTCAATGAAGTCAGCCAATCTGGGCTGACCCAAGAACTGGATTTTTTACTGCTGCTGTTTGAATTCGTGGTGGGATTTTTGTCAATGGATGATTTGACAGAGAGGCGAAGCGGATAAGATTTTAGAGTGAACGAACTAGTTTTCTGAAGAGGGCATAGTGGGGAAGATAAGAGGCAGAGTGAGCAAGGCATTGTTTTAGTTGAAAGAAAAAAACCGCGAATTTCAGCCTTTCTTTCCCACCATCACTGCAAGTTGTATTTTAAGCATCCAGAAGCGAACCAGTCTAACTGAAATGCCAGTGGCGGTTTAGCCATTAGGAGAAAAAAATTGCCTGCGGGATGCGACCTGCAAAGTTGCGGTGGGAAGTTCTTTTCAATTTATCGTTATTTTAGAAATAAATTTTCCCTCTTAATTTTTATACTGCAGCGCAATATATATATATATATATATATATATATATATATCACGTGTGTGTATTTCTATATTTTTTTTTGGCAGACACTCCTATTTTTGTGGGTTAAAGTACAATTTTAATCCTGGTGTTATTTTTCAGATGTAATTTAATTGCAAATTGCACACATACAAAATTAAGGTCAAAATTGCAGCACTAAAAAATCAGAAATAAGATTACATTTGAGAAATAAGATAGGGGTTAAAATTACATTTTAATCTGTTTTTTTTTTAAAGTAGGTATTCTGTTATTAAAAACAATTTTGTTTAAGACATTGTCACTATTAAATGTGATTTTTTTTTATTTTTGACAAAAAAACGCTGCTATTTTTTAGTTTTCTACAAAAATGGCTCGAATTGAAAAATTTATGGGAAAATCCTAGAAAAAGCCCTTGGAATATACCAAATCTCAGATTGGGTCTTTAAATTTTAAAAATGACAAAATGGGTCATTGACTCAATCTGTCATTTGTGAAATTAAAGCGAATTGATAATTTTACCCCTGGCTAAGCAAAAGTGAGTAGTTATTCTCTAAACAAATCTAGGTAACGCTTATATTGTTCTAGTGATTACAAGATTAGTTGTAGTTAATAATAAGGTACCTGCCAATAATAAGATACGTGACTATGAAAAATGAGTAGTTATTCTCTACACAGATTCAGGTAATGCTTACATTGTTCTAATGATTACAAAATTAGTTGTAGTTAATAACAAGACACTTGACTATGAAAAAGTGAGTAGTTATTCACTACACGAATCTAGGTAACACCTAAACCCTTATAGTGATTCATTAAATCATTGTAGTGAATAAATGCAAATGAGGGGCAAAGTTGTCAATTCCTCTTAATTTGACAAGTGATACATTGGGTCACTGACCTATTCTGTCATTTTCAAAATTCTAAGGCCTAATATGACATTTCCCATATTCCAAGGACTTTTTTGGGATTTTCCCAAAATTTGTCATGGGCCCAAATATTATATACAAAAACATGAAAAATATCCTGTCAAGAGGCACCAGACCGCATGATCTTTTAGCCCAACCCAATAACCGGTCTAGGTGGTTTGGTCTCAGTTGTCCCATCCTCTAAGTTGGATCAGAATTGACTGGGTCATTGTCCGGAAAAAGTATCGAGACTGGGTTCGAATGCAGATTTGTCTTTTACATTTTGGTTTAGGCTCCGGAGGCAGTATTCGATGCTAAAGCAGTTTTTTTATTACAGTTTAAATAAATACTCATCCAGTTTTTAATATAAAATCTATTATTTTCAGTTCTTATTATAAGACATAGTTGACTAATTTAAAAATATTAAAAAAATTAGTTAAGTTAATTATTTGTTATAAATAGATGTTGTCTTTTCTAAAACACCCTTGCTAATCATGTATATTACCTAGTTACCATTTCATGAAACCTTTTATATATATACAACCACTTTAAGAACTATTTTGAAAAAAATAAATAAATATGAAAGATAAAATGGATTGGGGTCTTATATTTGGGACCAAATTAAAAGTCAAACAAATCTTATAATAAGGAACGAAGGTAGTATTTAACTAATTTGATTAGATTAAGAAAGTTAGGTAAGTCACTTAATTATAAGAAATATGACATGTTTTTCCTAAAACACTACAATCATCTTTCTTAATATCCGTCTTCCATTTTCTACCTGATTATAGTTAAGGAAGTATCCATGAAGGTAATTTAGAAAATTTTTTTTTTTTTTTTGGTTTTAAGCTTTTTATAATGGATCGTTCATTTTCACCAAATAAATAATGAACGGTATGACTTTTACGGTATAATGAGCTGGTCAATAAATAGCATGGAGTTCACAGAAATTAATTTTTGAATATAATCCTAGGAAAACATCGTTGAAATCTTCGCTGAGATTATTTAAGACTGGACTTTTAAAGTCTTCAAGTAAACGTTATCAACACATAATAAAATTCACGCTTTTAGTGCACTGAGCTGGTCACATGACATTTGACTTTGCTTGTTATATTAGAAATTATTAACTCGTGCGTTGACTTTCTCAGCCTTCTCAATATGTTGTTGCAGGGACACCATCGCTTTCAACTCCAAAAGCACCCCTTTAATTTATTCATCTGAATGGGCCAGAAATTAAGGAAGGAGTTACACGCATGTTAATCAAGGCTTAAGATTAGAAAAGGCACTCAAATCTTTGTTAAAAAGAATATCACACTAATAGGAAAATACTTATCCAGTCATAAATATAAAATTCATTTTATAATATAAATTACACTATAAAATATATTTTAAAGATCAGGATTATATGAAACGCAGTTGGTTTAATTGATTTTCAAACCACACTGATTCAACACATACGTGACATGACTGACAATCCACAGGAAATTGAAAGCGCGCATCTGTGTTAGTACCTAGTATCAAGTCATCAATATCGCTCCAAAAAAAAAGTTATCAATATGTGTGGGTGCGCGCCCCCAGAAAAGTTACCATTATTGATCCGAAAATATTCTTTCCACGTGGCAGGCTTTCTCTTCTATTTGTTTCCTCTTTGGTAATTAGTACAGCAGGGCTTTGTGTGCATGTAATCAATATGTCTTTCTCAAGACCGTACCCTACAATGAAGAGACAGAACCCATGTTCCGTATCTTCTTCTTTACCATTTCTGGATGGTGAATTACTTACAGTCACAGATTAGTTACGTTCATTATTTCGGTAACTTCCTAGACTCGAGAAAATCCTTTCTCTTGAGTTCTCTGGTGGAAAGGTACTCGAGAAAGTCGCCAAAATTCGTGTCCTTATAAAGCTTTGGATTCATCTCGTTGACGAGCTTCGACGACGGCCTCACCGTGCAGCTAAACGGAAGGCTATGCAGAGACACCACAGATATTCGACTCTTCGCCGCGTTCACCAAAGCCCTATGCAGAACGCTCTTGTACTTGCCATTGCTAAATATCTGATCCATACAAACACCAAATATTAACACGATAATCGATATTTATATATATACACACCACTTTCAATAGTTTTCTTGTGCATCTGCAAGAAGTTCAACGAGAAACCCACCTCCATGTGATCGCCGAGGTTAACGACGAAAGTGTTGGGGACAGGACGAACGGTGACCCATTGGGCTTGATGTTGGATCTGCAGGCCCCCAACCTCGTCCTGGAGGAGAAGCGTGAGGAAGCCATAATCAGAGTGAGGAGGGATCCCGAGAGTTAGCTCTGGTTCTGGGCATGGCGGGTAGTAATTGGCCACAATCATCTGGCTACCATCTTGGAAACCTTTAATTAAAATGTCTTCTTCTTCTTCTGCTTCTGTCTCGTCTTTTTTGGCTTGCTGCTCAATTCCTAAGCCCAGGCTCTCTAGAATGGCCTCCACTAACGTTAGGAACAAGTACCTGGTTCTTTCTGCGTAGGTAGCCGCCACTTTCCTTTTAAAGAATAAAAACACGACCGTCCCAACAAAGTTAAAATTGGCCCCCATCATGCCGTAATAACGTTACAACGTGTGACGTTTTTGGGCGATAGCGAATAAGAAATTCAAGCGTAATTAAATGTCAAAGTGAGGCTATTCGGCTAATTAAATGAATAGGTTATTGGGTATACGCAAGAGTATGACGTAGAATATTATAACAGTAGAGGTGACTTAGGAGTACTCACCGCAAGTCCACGGGGGAAGGAGGCCAATGGGGAAGGAAATCAGGTAAGGGATGGCACAGGAGCTTAAGGAAGTCCCTCCAGCAAAAGACTGTCTCTCTGGTGGGGCTGTAACTAGTCCCATATCGGACAGGGGCTTGCACGTCTGTTGTCATGAACCTGGCTCTTTCCTCGTAAGGAAGATCGAAGAACCTCCAACTCACATCCATCATTCTCCTCAGAACATCATCTGGAATCCCATGATTTACCAGCTGAAATTCAAAGAAAGAAAAAAAGTCAACGCGCGTATATCTACCATTTAATTAATATAATATTCCAGTTTTCCTGATCATCAGTTTAATCACTGATGACCAGAGAAATTAAAATCCACACCCACCTGAAAAAATCCATAGTGTTCACAAGCATGAGAGAGGGAATGAAGGACTTGGGGCCTATTGGGTCCTAGCAACTCACCAAAATCAATGATGGGCAGCTGAATTAGATTTAAATCGGGAGCATATTGTTCTTCCACGCTGGTATTGGGTCGGTCTGAGGCAGGGAATATATACCTAGGAGGGACCCTGTGAAGGCCATTTTCAGAAAGCTGTTTCACACCTTTATAAAGGTAGTCGCTTTCTGGTGTATCATCATCTCCCTCCTCGCTGCTCTCGCGAGTTATCGCCGTTGAAGGAGACATGTCTACGGAGGACCAATATGAAGCGGCTAGAAATGGTTAACCGATAGATATACAGGAGAAGGAAAAACGTTATGGGAATATATATGAAAAGGGAACGGACGGGTTGGGATGTCGTGTTGGGATTTTGCAGCGTATAAGGAGGTTTATATAGAGAACTGGGAAGGTGGTGGGGTAAGGAACAGTGTCAGGTTTTGGGGAAAGCAGGTTCGGGTTTCTGAATTCAGAGGACTGCTTCTTTCCATTACCATTTAAAAACAAGAGCGTTGACAAAAGTTCCAGTCACGGCCTGAGGAGAAGTAAGGGATTAGAACTATTCAAGTATAATGCATTGTCTCTTTCCCCCTAGTTGACGATGGATTCATCCAACAACTCAGCAAGGATGATGATTTGATGATGTGTTGCATCAGACTCTCAAACAACCTATATGGGGTTTGTATTTTTATGCGGGAGAGGGTTCATGCACCAGAAAATGTCGTTGCACGATTATAATTATTACCTTCGGGCGGGTGAGCGACCAACAACGTTGTCCTCCTGTAGGGCCGTCCTTCCTAGCTAGCATACATGGCTCGTCATGCAGAGCAATCCTAGTCCTTCTTCCCACCTAAGTTATACAAGAAGCAAGTTATAATTTAAACTATAATTTCTTTTGTTATTTAATCAGATGTACTCCTCCGGTCCTTAATGTAAGACCCATTTAACTAATTTGATTAAATTAAGGAAGTTAGGTAAGTTAGTTAATTATAAGAAAAGTGATACATTTTTCCTAAAACACCATAATCATCTTTTTTAATACCTCATCTCCCTCTTCTATTTGATTATGGTTGAGAGAGTATCTACAAGAGTAATTTAGAGAAAATTGATAAATATGAGAAATGGGTCTTGTATTTAAGACCAAAACCAACTTAAGAATTGGGTCCTATATTAAAGACTGGAGGAGTATTATTATTCTTAATTAATAACTTGATATTATATTATATGTGAGAATAATGCGTGATCATTAATTAAGTTTGTATACATTTAGAAAGTGGTGTTTTTTTTTGTATCCTAGTGCATTTTTTTTTCAAATGAATATTGAATGGGGATTGTTATAGTTTTTAATGATCAAATACAATTTATTATCTTATAGTATGATTTTTTCTCTTCAGGATATATAGGCTAAACTTGACGATCTTATATACTGTGCAGGGACTGGATCGCAAAAACCAGGCAAGACCAAGCTTATGACTACAAAATCATGATGTTAGCGTTTGGATGATGAACGCCGTCGATTTACACTGACTCTTGCACAAATAAATGAGCCCTTCGTTGCAATTAATAGAATATTTAGATGTTTATCAAAGTCAAATGATATATATCCCTCACAACAAATCTAGATCAGATCATATATAATGTATTTTATTTGGTCAACGCATGATGGGTGTAGTACTTGATGCTTAATCTGAAAAATTATAGATATAATCCCCTTGATAACTTCAGAATACTGTGGTAATTAATTAAAGACGCATTAGTTCGACGTTCACACACTGAGAGATTATTGACGCAGTAATTAATTAACCCCACTGAGTATGCATGGTTCCTAATCAGCCTACAAGATCTACGTCGTCGATCCTGCTCAGGTTTCAGTTGATACGCTGGAAAAGTTATACACATGTCAAATCAACTTGTATTTTAGCCCTCGTCATGCCTTGGATTTCAATCTCGAATCATATAATATGCTCTTCTGGCCCTCATTTCCCATATATTTCACACGTACCTGTAAAAATTTTAAATTTTATCAATTCTTATTTAAAATTTAATAATTTTTTAATTTTATTCTATTTAATATACAATGTATCTCATGGGAATAAAATCAATACAATAATAAATGAAGAATAAAATCATATATTCACATGAAAATTTTCTCTCTTCACCCCATAAATAAGACTATTGGAATAATTAACAAGTCTCAAATAATTTTAAAATTATTATCAATATACTAAATAAATTCATTTTTAAAAAATTATCCAATTAATGTGTGTTTGTATATCAGTATATATGTATGTATGTATACGGCGTACAGAAGCAAGAGCCCCTAATTATACGCCAGAGCTAACACACTGGAAGACGCGGAAATTGAGAATAAGAGGGAGCTGGTTAATTTAATTATTTCTATAACGAAGGCCTTTGGAAGCAGTTGAATAATTAGTGATTCTAATATTTTTGGACACAGCCTAACAAAGTCAAAATTATTTGATAATAGGAATCCAAATCCCTTGATTCTTGATTGAGGGATATTAGTACCCATCGAATCGTGATATAATGATATTAAGTGAAAAATTACGAATTTGTTTCTTAAAAATGTAAACGAAGGTATTTATTCTAACACCGCTAGGTATTACGATCTCATAGTTAATATCTTTTAACTGAGGCTCGATCGGAACTGAAGATATATAGTAAGATTCTCGGACAGTATTCTCTACTTGTTTTTGCCGTTTGTTGTGTGCTTTTTCCCTCACTGTACACCCAAAAATATCAAGTGCAAGTGACGTATACTACATATAACGCATCGAATGAACAAGTGATCTTATTGACAAGGCGTGAGCGAATAATGTAGATTTGATTAATTTCACACACTCTCTCTCTCTACACACGCACACAGAGTTAGCGCGGCAAGAATTTGTTAACAACGATATCTATGGACTGGGTTAATTCAAAGTGAGCCGTTTTTTCAATTCATCAGGTGTCTATCAGAAAAAAATGGTGGGTTTGTGCTGTAATCGCTGGGTGTAAATCATTTTGTTATTACCCTAAAGCAAATCAACTTCAAGTAGATTCTGGGTTATATGTACTCTGACGAATGAGGCTTCTCTCTCTCATCGATCACTCCAAACAAGTCCATTCCTGTCCCCTTTTCTCCGTTTTGCTTTCCCAACGTCCAAACACAAACAACCAAAGCAATCCCAAGAGAGACGTCGTCCTTATTGGGCTACCTTGCTTTTTCTTGACGGGGACGGGTTCCAGTCAAGTCCGATGCACAAGCTTAAGCAGTACACCCTCCTATATATATGTGTGTGTATATATATATACCGATCAAAATGGCCCAAGGGAATTTGTTTTCCCCACTTGCCTGGTTCGTTTTATTGTTTTTTTAATTTCAGATAAGGCCTGTGAGCCAAGTAACAAAATATCTGTGAGTTTTCAAAAGTTGTGCGCGATGCAGAATGGCCTCGTATGTGAAAAAGACAAGGACATTGGTTAGTGCGATCTGACCTGGATTTGGTACGGGTTCATGTTTCTTATCACAAGACCCCAACCACACAATGGCAAATTGAAGCATAGCTTTGCAAGTAGTATTAAGGTCTTCTAAAATCACTGTTATGATGAGAGATATCGATCCATGCATTCAGCTATTGACCGCTTAGGTCCGTGAACTTTATATAGCAGAACAAATTATATCCATGCCTATGTTAATGTTCGGAACCCTTGATTCGTTAAAATACTCTCGCACTGAGATCAAAGGGTTTTCAAACATGAATGAACGATTCCAGTCTATATTACTGGCTCCCGTCCTAAATGTAAAATCCACTTTGTACTGTAAAATTTGCATTACAAAGTGAATATTATACTTATGAGCGAAGCTAGTATACAGCTAGCTAGAGAGGCTTTGACGAAGTAAACGACATGAACTCCATTTGGTGTCAATCATGTACGCCGCACATGTAAGGAAAAGAACGTTTCGTCTATGGGCGTCGACATTGGAATGTAATGCAGGAGCAATGGATTTCTGGAAAGAATGCTGTGATTAGTGCGTGGCCCCGGAATGTTTCACGCTTCCAAGTTGGGCAAGTCTTGTCGTTTTGCTCTTGATGCGTTGGATGTATATTGTATAGGTAGGTCCGTCAGGTCCACTCTAAATTAAAGCTCCGATCAATGTTGGAATTGGAGCATCGTGAGATCATCAGCGACAAGCTACAGTTTCAACAAACGGTTCATATTTTGCGACCTGTCACGTTATCACTTCTCGCTGGTTTTTCGTTAGCTATTCCCTAAACTATGAGCGATTTCTTCACAAACCTTGGACTTTCTTCTGAGGGCTCCTTATGATTATTGTCCACAAAACAAAAGACATTACTTCATTATTTGGCAGTTTCTTCCGGTTATTGTGAAGCATTTCAGGAATACGTAGGTGCAACACGTATGTTATAATTGTACCGCAGAATCTGCCGACAGTATTTATTACCAATGATCAAATTCAGAAAAAAAAATTATTTAAAAATTTAGTTATTGTTAGAGCACAGTATGTTTTATTCACATGTAGCCCACTCCATGTGATGGGATAAACACGTTATTATTATTGTTTCAAATTAAAAAAAAAAAAAAAGAGGCATTTCCAAGTATCATGATGCTATTTTTCAATGGACGGTCCATAAACAAACGCGATGGGGCGTACAATTACGCTTAGTTATTGGGCCTCACTAGGTTGGACTTTGTCAACCTATAGTGGCGACCAATTGGGCTAGTTTGTGGCACCATTCTGTTCCCCAATCTGTTTACCACCGATATAAATTGCCCAGAATTTAAACAACGGGAGCTGGTCCAAGTAGTAAGCGGTTTGGTATCGCTTAAACGAAATCTCGAGTTCGGGTCTCAGCGTATACAGAAAATCCCTGTTGGAAAACTTACCCACCACAGCCAGATGTGCAACACGGGTCGGATCCAAATATAATCAGAGCAAAACTCCGGTGAACTGGGTGGACAATCAAAAAAAAAATTGCCCAAAATATTATGGTTTAAACAATATATAATACTCCCAAATGCGCCACCCGCACGTCCAGAAACATACAAACGCATGTATATGTTTTTTATGCTAAATACATATAACATTTTAATTGTATTTTAGAGTTCTCTTGTACAGTCCAGAAAATATTAAATGCCCGGTAGTTTGCTATATATATGTGTGTGCGCGCCGTTAATCGGCAGCTATATATCGGCTTCCCCCTTATCCTCCGCGATGGAAGTTTGAGGTAAATACCGCAAATCATGAAGCATCTTTTGAGGCTATTATTTCATGATTAATTAGCATATTATAACTCGAGGTCGAAACGAAGGGATTGATTAATCAAACATAGTTCAGGTGGGGGCAACTTACTTTTTTTAACTTAAAGTTACCATATTCCACCTACTCATTTAATTAGTTTAATTAT